TATAAATATATTGCTATGTGTTCATGCAGTAGGGATTTGAGTAAGTTTCCTATATCTTGGTAATAAGCTACAATACATAACACTTGTATTGTAGCTTATTACCATGGGGATTATTAGGAGGCCATGATTGGTAAGGGACGCCAGGGTTACACCCCTACTCTTTGAGAAACACCCTGTGACTTTTAATGACCACAGAGTCAGGACCTTGGTTTTACATCTCAACCGAAGGATGGCACCTGTTTACAGTATAGTGTCCCCGTCGCTATACTGGGGTATAAGGACCCACATAGACCACAGGGAGTGGGATCAGCAGGGGGTGCTCAAACACCTCTTCCAGCAGCAACCTTAGTTTTTCCCACGAGGTCTCCCATCCAGGTACTGACCAGGCTCACACCTGCTTAGCTTCAGTGGGTTGCCAGTTGTGAGTTGCAGGGTAATATGGCTGCTGGCGATGATACTTGACCACAATGTAAAATCAACCCAAATAATCTGCACTACTTAAAGCCTTTCATCTAATACCAACATTCTTTTGTCCCCCTTTTGCAACTTCTAGAAATGAAGAAGAACCCCTGGCACTCACCATGGGTTATTGCTCTTGCTGTCCTCATTGCTCTGGGAATCATCGCTTTAGTGACTACAGCTGTGGTACAGAATAAACCTCTTCCCAAGAAGTTTAAGGTAATCTGTTAGTCTCACTGATGTAGCATGGCTGCAGCTTATTTCCAAAAATGTTCTTTTTGCATTGAGTTTTGCATTTCAACAATGCCTTCTAATGCATATGACGCCAGATCTGTCAAAACAGCTTCTCCATCTCATGTGCTCTATATTCAGGAGGCTGGGGTTATAATATACTGTAGGCAAGGATTTAAAAAAAAATTAATATATTGGCAGATCAATGGTCAGGAGTAGGTTACTGCCTAGCGTCCTGGGTGCCTCACAGGCCTGTGTGGTCAGCGGCCTTAACAATATGAGCAGACTAATGTAGCAGTTGCTCAAGGAAAGCTTCATCTTAAATATGAATATCAGCTGTTACAGTAGCACCCACACTAAGCAAGGAGTACCTCCCAGTACAGCACCATCAAGTTATAAAAAAAATACTCGCTCTACGTGGGCATAAAATTTCACCAAAATATGTAGAAGTCTGAATAATTTTCTAAGGTCTACAGTATATCATAGTTGATATGTACCAAGTATTCAGCTCTTACAGTATATAACGCTTACAAAGGCCAAAAGAAGAGAAAGCTGCCTTCTAAACTAAACAGAGTATGACCTACGGTTATATCTCTTATGTAAACGTGTGTAGTGTGCTCTCTGAAGGCACCACTTCTGTAGGGTTTGGGCATTTACTGGGACAATTATTAATTGTAGCAGTAAATCACAAAATTGATTCTTTTGATGGCTTTAGAATCCAACCATGCAATATAACTCAAACAACGCACACACACACAGGTACTAATACACGAGGATACATTTATTAATACATAAAATATGCATGTAAACCTAACAGATCTTATCGAGAGGACATACGTTCAGTATATCATTCATTTAGACCGTTTCTTAAATGAACTTGGTTATAACTTCTACATTAGATACTCAAACAAGTACATAACTCTTAGGAATTAAATTGATATCAACTGGTTGGGATAACAATTTAATTTTCTCGAGCTGTAATGCATTGAAGTTGAATACTCATCCAATCTCTGGGGATTCAGATCTCCTGCGGGCTCCCTGGCTCCGTGCCAGGCTGTGCTGTGCGGCTTGCGACAGTGCGCTGCTGATGCTCATTGGCCGGCTAGTTAGTGTTGGCTTTAACTAACAAAGTTTGTGCACAGAAGAAAAGATGACTGTGGGTCCCAGCAAGTCAGGAAGAGGACCGGTTCATTCCTGATGAAGAGCTAGTTCTGAATAGTGATTCAGCTGTCCACAGTTCCGACCTGTTCATGAGGCTTGCTGCTGATGCTAACCTCGGGTGGATCCTCTGGTTACTCTCTGGCAACCTCTGCTCTCGACTCTTAGAACAAAGGAAAGTTCTGGCACTCGGACACACTGGCCGTTCCGTGGTTGTTCGGGCTGAGTCTCAGGATGGTCAGGAGACGTGCTGCGAGAATGTCCTGCCCTTGGGAGCCTTCTGCTCCTAGGCTGTCCTGCCCTGGAATTCTCCTTTGAATTCTCCCTTTCAGGAAAGTCCACAGAATTCTCTCAGGAGCTCTGTGTTGCCTGTTTTTACCTGGAAGAACTTCAGCTCATTCATTGGCTGAAAGTTCCATGGGCATCAGAGTCCCATGTGGGTTACTTGGCCCTACCAGTCCCTGATTGGTTGATCAAGGTGAGATATGAGTCACGTACTCCTGACACTTAGGAATACAGTCCAGATGTCCATCTGGCACTCCCTAGACAGATAGGCGCCAATGGATGACCATTGATCATGATAGCCAGGCTTAGCATCCCCATTTGGGAGCTGTCCCTTATCAAAAGAAAACATCTTTAAATCAGCCTGCATGAATAGTTTCTCTGTGGCTGCACCACAGAGATGAACAGAGAGATGAGGCATCATTTGGGAAAGCACAGCAACACTTAATTCTGTCTTATTAACAAGCATTGCCGCTACACGTGGATGCTACAAAATGAATAGGAACCAATCTTGCTATGCTAAAAAATGCACCCACTATCCTGGAGAAGGCATTTTTAACCGAGAGGTTCTTTATACAAGAACTCAAAGTTTCTAACAACAACAGAAGAGAAATTTCTCTTAACAAGGTACAAATAGTCAACTTCACTCTGGTCTTTCTAGATTATCTGGATAAGGACTTCTCGCCTTCTGACTTGCTGTCCCTTGTCATCCCTCCTGTCTCGTGCTTTTCTGTTTCTCTGTACCTGCCTGTTTTATTCAGTGTCCCTAAACTGTTGATGCCACTCTTAACCATTTAGCAAGAACTCAGCTAAGGTAAACCAAGGTTAATTTTACAATTGCTTGGATCTGTGAATCTTGGGCTGAACATTGCAGCAAAACATCTCCTTGCTTTGGAGGCCCCAGGGACTAGAAATGTTGACAATATCCATGTGTTACCAATGCTATCTACATTCTTAAAGACACTTCAATAGTTGTAACAATAGTTGACATATTGTAGTTTTACTGTGAGTTGAAAGCTGTATTTGAGTGTTAACAGGAAAAAGGCTCATTGTAAATGGGTCTTAGACAGGGGAATAAAGTGGCAATAAATTGTTAAGCATGGTTTGTGTCAAACCTGACTCTCTGAAGTCTCTTAATTCTTATCTATGGCACTATCTTAGACTCAGCCAACTCCTTGTATGACAGCATGAACAAATGTTTCATTGACTCTGCTGTGTGAAAGTGTGCAGCTGTGGTTCTGACAGTTTTGGTAAATGTTTACTCTTTTCTCTGTCCTTCCTTAGTATGGTATTGTCTTGGATGCTGGATCTTCTCACACTTCCTTATACATCTATGAGTGGCCAGCGGAGAAACAGAATGACACAGGAGTGGTTAAACAGCTACACGTCTGTCATGTAAAAGGTATAGCCAGGCTGTTAAGAAATGGCTTTCCTGGGCCAAAAGGTCTTTCTGCATCTTGTCTTGGAGATTTTCTGAATGCACAAACCTGCATGGTTTCTTAAAACACACAACAATTTAATCCAGGGTTAGAGACAGTCTGACATTCCTAGCTATTTAGAAGAGTTCTTTCTATACACATTGACAGTTTTGTTAGAATAATACAGTAATAAAACCACAAGCATGATGGACATTTTTTAATTTTTTTCACTAATGATACTGATCATCCACAAACACGTATCAAAGCAACCAATACTGTCCTTTCTTAAAAAGTTATATTACAATTATAATAATTGCTAAGACATTATACGTATTAAACAAATAACATTGTATAAAGTTTGTATACAGTTTTTTGTTTGAATTTCAGTGTTGGAACTACTTCTTATTTTGATATGATACAATTTTAATGTATTGTAATGCAGGAATGTACACATAGTATGAAGTGTTAAAAAAGATATGCACATGGATGTGTTGTGCCATGTCCTTATTTTCATTTTTTCATTTTTTATTGCATGCTCAAAAAAAAATCTAACGCCTCATTTGTATGAAATTTATAAGTACTTAAAAGTACAAGAATTATGTATTGGAACCTTATGGATTTTGCAAGTGAACACTGCAATTAATCCCTTTCCAATAGGGGCATTTGAAATTAAATCAAGTGAATAATACTCATTATTTTTTCCTTTCACTTGAAATGAAAATTTAATTAGCGCTCTCCTTACAAATCTCAACAATACTCTTTTGATAATTTAAGCATTTACTCCAAAGTATATCTTTTAATGACTTAAAAATATAAATGTTTCTTTGTTCAACTCTGCACTGAGGTAAAAGAGTAGGGAATGTCTTACTGACATTAAATGCATACTGTGTCCTATTAAAACTACTTAAAACAATTAAGCATAGATAAGTGAATAGTGGAGGAATTCCATGTAAGTTGTGGAGAGTCCAAACTAAGGTAAAATTTAAACTTTAAATTGAAAGCTTTTACAGCTGGAAGAACTGTTGTAAATTTTAATTTATAGCCAAAACTGTAGTGGTGACACTTGAGTTGGATTATAATACTGACAGATTATTCTGCATTTCTTAAATTTTTCCATCTCAAAATATTTCTTGAGGGATATCTGCACAGCCATTAGTCAATGTAGGAGTGTCACTCATTTCCTTTTTCACTGCTCTATTTTCATTTTACCTTCGTTTTATTTCTTATATTGGCTCAAATGAACCTATTAAATATTTTTTCAATATTTTGTAAAGATAGCTGCAGTTCTGACTAGGAAAAAGAGGATTACTAATAAGATATATTAAACGAGAAACTAAAATACATAACTAATTTAGATTTTATTTCCTATTATCAAACTAGTCTAGTTTCTAATGGCAGAAACAAACACGCAGGCCATGAGGGCCAGTTCTTCCAGAAGACTGTTACCTACCAGTATGTTTTTGGGCTGTGGAAGGAAACTGGAGAACCCAAAAGAATCTCATCCAAACACTTGGAGAACATATGACCTCCACAGGTCTGGAACTGATCCAGGGGTACCAGTGCTGTGAGGCACCAATCCTAACAGCTGTGCCACCATTATGATGTTAAATTGTGGTCCTCCAGGAAATTACTTGACCTCCAGTTTTCTCCTATCTCCCAAAAACTTGTAGAATAGATTTAATTGGCCAGTTTAAATTATCTATATGTGGAGTCTGGTCTCCATGTGGGATTATCAGTTCCCTCCAACCAGAGTAGTCCTGGTGCCTTCCTATCTTTTTTTTCCTAGAAAAAGGTTCATGTTTACATGTGAACATAATGGTATATTATATAAAATAACCCTTTCCATTGCATGACATTTAACAACAACACGCATAAAAATCTTAAAATACTTATACTGTCTTAGCAAAAACACACAATATAAAATAGTAATGATTTAAAATGAGCATAGTGGTCTAAAGCTTATAGAAATGTATTTTGAGTTCTGCTTGTTATGTCTTTATATACATATTGCTGTCCAAAAGCATAAGAGTCCTAGTTTCTGATGTAGAAAGAGACAGTGAGATAACCTACTCACTGTCTCTCTTTGCCCCGTCACACAGGCCCAGGTATCTCCAGCTACAGTACAGACCCAAAGAGAGCAGGAGCATCTCTTCAAGAATGTATGAATGAGGCAAAAGTAAAAATACCAGAAAGAAGACACAACGAAACACCAGTTTATCTAGGAGCCACTGCAGGCATGAGGTTGCTCAGGTATTTTATTTCCCACTATCAACTTCCAGATGTTGACCTAGAAAGTACTCCTGTTCACTCTGATGTACTCATTTAGCAGAATCCTTCTTTGATGGAAGCATGTTAAAAGAAAGGAAACGTGTGCGAGCCCATTTCCTATCTATCAGGAAAATGTCACAAACCCAAAATATGGCTTTGCGGTGGATGAGATGTGCTATTGTATATGAAAATGTAGAAGTATGTCAAAGAAAAATATTCAGATGTGATATATATTTTAAGGTCTTACAGTGCTGAATGAACAAACATACCCTATACAGTATTCATAATATTTGTGAATTTGCATAGTGTATATTTGTACGTTACTATGGTTACATGCTATGTAAAACAGACTAAGATCTACATAAAACCCCCAAAATCATTCTGTCAGTCAAAAAAGGTGTCTGAAAATCTAAGAAATATCCTTAGAAAAGAGTGTTTCAGTGGGAGCTCACCCAAGTACAAAGATGTTTTCTGTGATATAAAAACAAAGGAATAGTAAATGAAGTAGTAAATATCTAATAGGTGGTGAAGAACACAGGCAGGCGCCTGTTGCCTGAATCCACATCACGCACACCCATGCTACTTGTTAACCCAGTTTGGAACCACAAATTGATCTTTCCTTCCCTTTTTGGGGTTAAGAAGTTCCCTCCTTCACTACACTGGAGAGCCTTTTGTACCATCAGCACACTTGCTTCATGGAGTCTGTCCTTGAATCACAGGTGTATCGCCTGAAAAATTACAGTATCTTGAGACTATCACTCCTACTTAACATTCACAAAAATGCAGCAGATTTACTCCAGACCAAGCCAAAAAGGAAATGACGTGCACATATGAATATACAGTATTCTGCTCTTATTCAATAAGGAAAACACTAAACAGCATATTGTGCACCTTGAATTACCAGCCTAGTAGTTTTCCTTTGTCTCAGAATCACTCAGCCCAGTGCTAGTCATCAAAACAATGGAGATTCTTTTCAGAGAGACTTGAGCAGCAGTTAGTCATGTCTATAGTACATAGTGCAACTGCAACATGTCAAGTCTAATCATTTGAAGTAAATACAGAGATAAGTCTGGTGCAATGAGTTTTGCTCTGTTTTCTCTTGCAGAAAAGAAAATTCATCTGCCTCAGACAAAGTGCTCTCATCTGTTGCAAAATCCCTCCAGTCCTACCCCTTCCAGTACCATGGAGCACGGATCATCACAGGCCAGGAGGAGGGGGCGTATGGGTGGATAACCGTGAACTACCTGAGTGAAAAATTCAAACAGGTGCTTCATATGCCTTTATAAGAAGGACCGCATGCTTTCTTAAGAAACCTGCGAAGTTGGTGTGTCAAAAGAATCAGCTGCATAAAATGTTTACATGTTTACAGACAAAAGACCACAAGCCTACACAGTTCCACAGTTCATTTTAGAGAGTTATGTAAGTGTTAGAAATGCAACAAATTCTATTGCTTATAGTGCCTCTCATACAGTACATGTGTGTAAGAGCAAACAGAGATTCAGTCCACTCTAAAAAGTAGACAAAGAAAAACACAATTTAGGCTCTGATCCTTTTTTAATTGTGTGTGCCTTGGAGAAAATGTGAAACAACTCCATAGTTTTAAGGCAACTTCAAACACATGTTTCCTTACAACATTAAAGGTAGTAAAAGCTGGCTTGCCATCCCTTCTTGAGTTGTTCCTTAGCTCTAATTGTATTAGACCGCCCTCTGCCTGCCCTCCTTTCTGTCTTTCCTGCTTTCTCTTTCCTGCTCGCATGCTGGCCACATTCACATTCTCTTCGCGTTCCCTTTCTTTCCGCATCCCTTTTTTCTGGACTTTCTCCTTTCATTTATGCCTGTGTTTTGTTTTCCAAGTCGGTTTCCCTTCTGTTTTTTCTTGTTAATTACAAGGCAACATGTATGCTGCATCTTTTTACACTTGAAATAAGGTGTAAATCCCAAAAAAGTCAATTAAAAATAAATGACACTTCTTTAGTTTAGGGGTTGTAAGTCTCATCTAGACATTTTATTAAAGGAGTACATTAATACTGTGGCCCTGTGATGGACTGGATTCCCATCCAGGCTGTTTCTGCCTTGCCAAGTTAGGCTCCAGCTCCCCTGTGACCCTGAAAAGGATGAAGTGGTTAGAAAATGGATGGATTAATAAGGTGGAGAGTGGCACAATGGTTAGCATTTGTTGCCTTGCAGTGCTGGGTCCAAGAGTTCAATTCTTGACCTGGGGTTCAAATGGGTTTCCATCAGATGTTCCACTTCCACTGTCCATAAACACATTGGTACGTTAATTATTCTGGACAGTATTTTTTTAATCGGAATCTAGAACCCTGTTAATAGAAAAATGTATATTATCGATACCTAAAGTTATCTTCATACTTATTTTTGTACTAGTGCATTTAGATATATACATTTATTAATTAAGCACAAAGGTCAGCAGACTTTATACAAACAATTTTCCAATAAACTGAGAAAATGTAAACACTTGATTACTGACAATCTGAATAATTAAGAGAGACCAAAAAGTACTTGAACAGCAATGTGGATTCTAAAACAAATGTACCTTGCATTCAGAGTTGAAAGACAGACTTTGTTTAATATTTCAGTAACCCCATGCATTTAGTTTCAATTAAAATGTAAACATTTTTTTGGTGGGGGAGTGGAAAAGCAGCATAATAGTCTTTGTGAAACTGTATGTTAAATTTATAAAATGCCCTTTTGAGCTGAACAACACAGATAGATACCCTATACAAGCCTACTTTACTCAAGTAAAGTGGCAATTAATTCTGGACTCTGGCTGTAGAAAACAGGGAAATATAATACTGTATGCTGTAGGAATTGCTAAACTCCCTTTTGCAAAGTTGATTTAATGTTTCTACTTTCTATAAAGGGTATGGAGCCTGTACTTAACATGTTCCAGTTTTATGAATGATGTCAAATTAACATTTGACGCATTTGTATTCACCATTAATTTTACAATGCAGGCATTATTCTTGGGAATAGATTTTGGACAATAACTTAAACATTTAGACAACTGAGAACACCACACAAATATAACACTGTTGTATGTCTCGATTGCTTACTTACTGTATAGAGTATCCTGAAGAATCCAAAAGTACTTTTTGCAGGTAGAGGGAAGCTCAGTTTGTTCATTACAGAATTGTAGCATATTCTAGGAATCAGGCAATTCAACTACAAAACAAGATGAATACTAATGAAATAATTGCTCAATTAAGATAATGGGGGATTCAGATTAAACTTAGAAAGCCTGAACTACAAAATAGACTCTAAATGTCGTGGGAAGCACTCTTACCATGACAGCATTGACGAAGTGAATTTTTCTTTCTAGAGAGGAAACTGACCAAACGATAATGCCTTCCTACACTCATGGGATGGATTGATTGAACTTGCTGGTCTGTCTCCTCAGGCGTGGCAGTTCTTCCAGACTCCAAGTACTATGGGAGCTCTGGATCTTGGTGGGGCCTCCACTCAGATCACCTTTGTTCCCCACGAGGAAGTTGTGTCCAAAGACAATGCCTTAGACTTTCGCCTGTATGGAAATGATTACAAGGTGTATACGCACAGCTTTCTCTGCTATGGCAAGGATCAGGCCCTCAAGGTCGTACTGGCTGAACAGCTGCAGGTGAGCTTAACTCAGAGTACAGCTTCTCGTGAAGCAGGTCTATGGATGATACAATTATTTATAGTGATGCATCTCTTCAGTTAAATGTCTATAGAAAAACCTCCAGAGATCATTGTGCATTGATACAAGCATTTATTTTATGTTGCCCTGAAGTACAATTTGTAGCTTGTAATAAATTCCGATTGTCCTGTACTTCTCTTTGGTTCATTATATGAAATGTGTTTTGTTCTTTGTGTTCAGAAGAAATAAAGGATAATAGCCCAAATATTTTGTTAGTTTCACTGGAGCAATACTAGTCCTCTCAACAGCCAAAATGACAGTGTACATTAATTGCTGATAAATGTTACTCCTTCATTGGGAGATGGTATGACACAGGGAAACAACAATCATTTTGTTCTGAAGTTATATGACGATTATATGAGCTGGTCAAATGTGGTGCAGCCTTCTAACAAATATTTTTTAAATGGTTTGATTTCTCCAATTATTCTGCTCTAATCTCAGGAGAATGATGAGGACGTCCTGGTAAACCCCTGCTTCAACAAAGGATACACCAAAAACATGTCTTTGAGCAGTATCTACAGCAGCCCCTGCGTCTCAACAAGGAGAAACAGCTCTTATTTCTTTCATCGTGGAACAGGAAATACTACACAATGCCGGGAGAGCATCAGGAAGATCTTCAATTTCACAGGATGTCCGTGGCCAAGATGCTCTTTCAATGGCATCTACCAGCCTCAGCTGCAAGGAAGTTTTGGGGTGAGTAGTTTACTGAATTCTCAGGAGTGGGAATGTGTTTTTGTAGCACTATTGCTACTATCACAACGACACATAATATATCATCATAACACACCTGCCCACTGGTGACCAACAGAAGATGTCTTGTATATGAATAATTGGAAATTCTGAATATTTGATTGTCTTGGTCATATATTTCAAATGTCGTTTGCTGCAAAACTCCTTATCACTTTCATGTCAACAGGCCTTTTCTGCATTTTATTTTGTGATGAACTTCTTAAACCTGACCACTACTACACTGGAGGTAGCCAAAGAGAAACTAGCAGCGTACTGTTCCTTATCCTGGAAAGATGTAAGTGTTAAAACTCTGCTGATTGCATTAAAAGTGATAAGAGATCTTTTGAAAAGGCTTTTTTCTATGCAGATAAAGGGCTTTAGTCATTCATGAAATCCAACTCCATCTTTTATGTAGTTATACCTTAGATTTTAGAGACTATACTGTAAAAAGAAAAAGAAACATAAGTTAATGTAGGTTTACCGTATCCAAAGATGTTTTTGTAGAGTTGTGCCACTATGTTCATCTTGTACAAGTTCTGTCCTTTTCACAAGAGTTAAGTGTCCTAATATGCACAAAAAAAATCAGACCTGGGATTATTTCTACCTTGTCCCGTTTGACAACAGCCTTTGACAACTTCAATAATTCAGTCATCATTTCTGGTTTTAATCTGGAAGTGCCAAATGGTAATCATTTTAGAAGTGCAATTCCTTATGCTCAAGCAAGGACATCCAGACCAGCGCTACTAAAGTGACACTCCTGCTGCCTGGGAGTCCTAGCCATAGCTAATAATGAAGTCTACTAGGGAGCTCAATTGATGTTGGCATTACTGAACGAGCCACATGAGCGCCTTTCGAAATTGGAAAACCTTTTAATTTTTTCTGCCAAATGGATTTTGGACAGAAAAATAATTAACTGGAAGCCTTGCCATTTTATATACCATACTGTATAAGAATTTACCTTTTATTTTCTACATTCTAAATTGGGTATTCCCTACCTGAATGTGGAACTAATAGCTGAAAACATTTTCCTTTGTCAGTAGCTCCTTAAGCTCCTTAACAGACCTACATTTTTCCCTTTTACTGTTAACCCTGCATCTGATTTTGAATCTGTTGAAACTGGTAATGTTTGGTGCGTTGCAAAGATGTACATAACATACACACGTCCGCATGCTTCTCACTTTATTCCACTTCTTTCTCAATATGAAAACTGTAGAGGTGCTAGATTTGAAGCAGTTAAGCATATTGAATACTTACACATAAACCTACTCAACGTAACTGGTTCTCTTATCTCCTTAGCTAGCATAGCCTAACTTTCTATTTGATCTGCAGAATGTAGAGTAATTCTCTGTTTTCCTCAGGTAAAACAGAACTACCCAAAGATTAAAGATAAATACCTTGAAGAATACTGCTTCTCAGGGACCTACATTTTAACACTGCTTGAAGAGGGCTACAATTTTACCTCAGAGAACTGGAACAACATTGAGTTCATCAAAAAGGTAAAGTAATTCCAGGCTGACTTGGCTCTGTTCTTAAATATAAAGTTTTGCAATTAACCTGTTTTATGTAACTTATTTCCAAAACAAATATCTGAAATTTCCAGTGAGTGAGTTACAAGTGCCTCATGATATGCTTCAAGGTAAATGACACACAAAGAGGCACAACAGAGAGATTATACAGATTCAGGAGGCTTGCTCATGGGCTGACTAAGGCTGAGTCTCAACTTCTTGAATACTATAGGGCTTTTCACATGTGAGGGGACAGTGGGAAGCAGTTTCACTCTTAAAGAATAACATCCCTGTACACTTACTGAGAGGGATGATGGACAATATCTTATTAGCAAACAGCTTAAACAATTAAAGGAGTAAAAGACCTGATGCAATTTTTAGAATGAGGCTTTGCTAACACCACATTCAGCCCTTACTCTCTTTTCCAGCTGCTCATATACAGTACAGTACCTCTATTGACTTCACATACAAACCCCAACCTCACTTCTGTTCTCGGTCAATTCCTGCAGTTCGTCACGATTACTGCTGACCACATTTGAGCCCTATGCTTTGCCCCAGCTCAACTTTTAATTAGTCAAAATTATTGAATCTTTAATTCAAGCAATGGATTAATTTTATTAATTTTATACTGAAAGTCCTATTCTAAACATCCATTGAACAGCTCTGAACTTTCAAGGCAAGTCGTGGCACCTCTTAGCTTCACAAAGCTTGTGTTCTCTTTATGACTAGCTAGCCATGAGTAATTGAAGTTTATATAAGAGGATTTTTTGGGAATGTCAGGAAAAACTGCTGTAGGCTATGGGCCTGTATCGTGGTTTACCATGCTGTACGATCCAGGCAGCACAAAACCAACAGCTTTGATGCAATTCTACTCAGTCTCACCTAACAAGGTACTGCAGTACAGATCCTGTTAAACCTTGCCCATTATTTTTTTTTTAGCAGTGCTCACCTAGCTTGTCTTTTAAAAATAAAGCCCATCAATCAAATTGAGTGATAACAACGTGAGTATTTTTTTAGATGGATAAGTCTTGTATTACATCTTGTATTCATCTTTCAAAGGGCCCTACAGGTAGTACAGAGGCCATTATTTATTGACCAAGTTTGTTTAATCTTTGTCAATGAGGTGTGGTAAGCTTAACGATCGGTGCGTGTGCCAAAATGTTTTGTAGAGGAAAGACTAATAAAAGATAATGCATACTGTTAATGAAAATTTGAGAAAAGAACGGGATTAGCTTTTTTTTTTTCTCTAAAGTTTGTCCCTGTGTGTTCTTGTGCAGATAGGGGACAGTGATGCAGGCTGGACTCTTGGCTACATGTTGAACCTCACCAACCTGATCCCTGCTGAATCGCCTGCTGTTCCTCCACTCCCTCATGCTGGATATGTCGCCATGATGGTCCTCTTCTCCTTACTGCTCGTGGTGCTCTTTGTCATTGGATACAAATGCTTTGGCAGGCCCAGCTGCACTTCTCAGAAATACACCATTTAATGGCATGGCAACAATGAATCTTACAGAAAGATGATTTTTTTCTCCTGAAACCACTGAGATGCTCAAGAAACTAGAGGTTTCCTTGCTGTAGTCATTAGAAGGTTTTACATTTCACAGCTCTGGATACAATACCTCAACAGATTCCCTGTCATTTGATGCAAAAGGGTGTTTTTCCACTGAAGATGTCAAGACACGGCAGCCATTTTTTGTCATTTTGAACACGGGCATAAGTGAATCTACCTAATAAACTGGCATTGTGAAACTGTTGGACGTCTCATGTAGCAGGACTTTTTTGCCTCTTCTGGGCAATTTATTGCTTACGACTAATAATGAACCAAAAATTATCTGTGACTATTTGTGATTCCCATAACCCCCTGCATTCTTCTGCACAGAGGTTATTTCTCGAATCATCAAAACAGCATTCATCATTATGCTCAGGAGAATGTAGCAGTTGATTAAATAACCAAGGGCATTATGCATTTATGCATTTTAATCAATGAAGAGAGAGTGCACCAAACTGTATATTCAGCCATGATGTAATTTGTTTAGAAATGTATTTTCTTCTGTTTCACCGCATATGTATAAATATATTACCTATATTTTCAATCCCACTGTAGAAGGGAAAAGTAAAGATACAGAAATGTGTAACAAATAATGAACCCGTTGTTGAGGTTCATTACTGACAGAGCACTGCTAATTGATTGTGGCACCAGGTAATCAAGGGAAGTAGAAATAAGTGATTGGAAACTTTGAGAAGTGAAGAGGAACAAAAAGGGACATCTGAAGATGGCAAGCGATTAACATCATATAACATGAGCAAATGTGACAGTGTCCTGACAGTCATTTTGTAGCTTTGAAAACTATGCCTGCCTCTATTGTCTCAAAACAATTTGCTGTACAACAATGATGTTAATCAGCCTTGTACAAAGGCTGTGTTTTTTCTTTGTCTTAAACCACTGAATTTTTTTTATTCCTACATCGATGTGGAATTTTACCATTTTTTCAACCTGTGATAATTAAAAATGTACCTCTTGTTTGAGAAAAATGTGGTTGGCTTGAATGTTTATGCAAGGCAATTGTAAATAATTGCCCTATTAATTTGTTTACATTGATATCTCTTCATTTGTATTATAAAATATTAAAAATGATTAAATTTAATCATATTGCAGAGCCATCATTGGCATGTTACACTGATACACTGGTCTCAGGAACAGCTGTATTTACATGTTGTTCCCATCTGTATAATCTGTGGTTCTTTGTGTACCGACTTTGCCTGACTGGTCCATTAATTAATTTTCCTAATTGGATGATTTTTTTCTCAGTCGATCTCTGCATTACATCTTTTTGTCCCCACCAATGGTGTTATTAGACCACTGCACTTCTAATTAAATGTGCTCCCAACCTGCTTGATAACTATCTCTCACACTATAGGTCTACTATCAAAAACAGCTCTTAATGTAAATTTATTATGCAAAGGCATGAGAGAAAATTGCACTGATAAACTTGCCTTGTTTTTAAAAATATTTGGTGCGAAGTTAATGCCAGCATATTCAGTCCAATTTTATAAAAGCTAAAATTGAAAAAGGAACTCACCTAGTCTTTATTAAGTGGTCAGTTGAAATTAAAACTGATGTTTTTTAAACTGCTGTATTGGAGCAGGTGGCATAGGGGTTAGCATTGCTACCTCACAGTGCTTGTACCCTGGGTTCAAATCCTGGGCTGCTGTGTGTGTGGAGTTTCCATGTTCTCCCTTTGTTCATTTGGGTTTCTTCCAGATGCTTCAGGTTTCCTCCCACAGTCCAAAGACATACCAGCAGGTGAGTGGCTTCTGCTTCTGGTAAGAGTGTGTGCATGTTTGTATTCATGTGCCCTGTAATGGACTGGCATCCCTCTCCAGGGTTCCTTCCTTGGATTAGCTCTGGGACACCATGACCCTGAAATGTATAAGATGTAATTAAAAGTGATGTGATCCAGTATTGTGGTTGCTGCTGGAAGAGGTGTTAGTGGGGCCAGCAGGGGGCACTCACCCCGCACTCCATGTGGGTCCTAATGCCCCAGTATAGTGACGGGGACACTGTACTGTAAACAGGCGCCGTCCTTCAGATGAGACATAAAACAGAGGTCCTGACTCTCTGTGGTCATAAAAAATCCCAGGGCACTTCTCGAAAAGAGTAGGGGTGTAATCCCGGTGTCCTGGTCAAATTTCCCATTGGCCCTTACCAATCATGGCCTCCTAATCCCCATTTTTGAATTGGCTTCATTATTCTGCTCTCCTCCCCACTGATAGCTGATGTGTGCTGAGCGTTCTGGCGCACTATGGCTGCTGTCGCATCATCCAGGTGGATGCTGCACATTGGTGGTGGTGGAGGGGAGTCCCCATTACCTGTAAAGAGCTTTAAATGGAGTGTCCAGAAAAGCGCTATATAAGTGTAAGCAATTATTATTATTATTATTGGAACTGGAGCTTTCAATAAAAAATTTCAAATTCCCAGCACAAGGGGGCATCAGTAAGCTATGTCTAGATTAGAACAAGAGCTGTTGCCGGAATGGTAACTCAAACTGTAATGAACCATGATGAACGCTGAATTTTTAGACGTTTCTTGATGCATCATAATGTAAAAAGTGTCTTGTTAGGTTACAAGCCTTTTCACAAAATTTAAACTCTCCAGGTATTAGAAACTTAGCTCTGGATTGAGTGCTAAACACTTTAGTTTGTTTTTATATATTAGAAACATTTTTTTTAATCCTGAAACAACTCTTTAAAAAATGAAACAATTTAAAGTTCCTACCATAAAGTCATACTACCACAGTACTTATAGGGAACTAAACAATTCAAAGATTGTTCATCTTCTAAATTGGACACTTAATTTACTATTTACTAGCACTTTATGGATTAAATAAACGTTTGCCATAAAATATTGCTTACTGTTTGCTGTAGAGAAGAAAAAGAACATAATCAGATGACAAGTCTACCATCTTTATATTGATGATGGACTTCAACTGTTTATTTCCAAGAAAAGAGCAAATCTCTGAAGCAAAATTGGCTAATGTGTTTTCAAACTCATTAGTTAAGCAGGTTCTGCAACAGCTGGCCCTGTGCTAGGCTGCCTCTTCTAAAGGCTATATTTTTCAGCTAATTGGAAAGCAAGAGTTACGTTCTCTTGTCTAATTTGAATGTTTACTATACAGAATTGCCTTCTTTGTCATGGTTTCCTTGTTGCTCCTATATCCATCACTTGAATTCTTGATTTCTTTCTAACCCAGCCTTATCTTGTTTCATTTACTCACAGCATTGCCTGCTACTAGCCATAGTGAATTTTTTACTGATTGAGTAGTCATGATCAGTGAAATCTTCATCCTGTAAAATATGGAAAAAGCCAAACGGTTTCTTGCCTGGCTGTATATGAATGATTGACAGTGCAATTCTGCAAGGTAGATATGACCGATTTAACTTTAAGCCCCAAATTTTGAATTCCGCTTGTTTTCTGGAGCTATTGTACATTATGTAAAATTAAGCCAAACAGCACTGAAATTGTTTTCATTTAAAGCATGATTTCAAACTACGTCAGCTGGATCAGCAGGTACCAAAACTGTAAAGACATGTCTTTTGTTGAGCAGACGACGTTCAGCCGCCCAAGAATTGAACTGACCAACTAGCTACCAGCTAAGAGTAATTGCGAAGTAGATATGCCGCATTACCTTGAATGCTTTATTGCAATCTATGTAATCCAATAATTCTGTATTAAAATTGATATTCATTCTAATTTATTTTGTAATGCTGCTTATCACTAGAGTGTCATGACAAGTTCAGAAAAACAATGCGGTAATTTCACAATCTTTTGCTACACTCACAGTTGTCCAGCTGCTGATTGATGCACCCTGGTAAGAAAAAACGCCCTCAACAAATGCCATAGCTAGCCTGTTGTATATGGAACACAGACACACAGAAATCAATTGAACCTCTGGCCATTTCCAAGAAGGGGTTTTGAAATTCTACCTGGAGTTATGTTTACTCGTGAGTTAATGAATGAGCCAGTGTTAAGAGTGGGGGTTGTATGTTCCTCAAGTGTACTAGTTTTCCTGCATGGCAGACAAAAAAAAGAAAGAAGGACGTGTGAAGGACAGAAACCCTCTTACTCCAGCTATTCCTTCAGCCTTGCAGGTACTGGGGTAGCAATTCTAAAATTAATGTTAGTGAGTCTTTAAATGAAAATTACACAACGCTGTACTGACAGCAGGTCTGAGCTAAGGCAACAGGGGGGCTGTCCTTGCTTGCTCTCCTGTTCCCATCGGATCCCAGCTAAGGGAGGAGGGGGTAGGCGGGTGGGTTGTGGGGGGTGGAGACTTGCAGTGCACTGCTGTGTCCCTGGTGGAGCTCAACCCTAAGCAGGACTGGCAAGGAAAGGCGCAAGGATGCTTGAGAAGTTAGGTGGCTTGCTGCTAAGCTGTGTGGTGTACCTGGGGGCCACTGTCTTGGCTGTGGACTTGCAGCATCATGGCTATGAGGACATGGTCAGAGCCCTCTTCAATGTGCACAACGAATGCCCTTACATCACCCGGCTATACAGCATTGGGCGCAGTGTGGAGGGCAGGCACCTCTACGTCCTGGAGTTCAGTGACAACCCTGGGATACATGAACTGTGTAAGTGGGGTTAAGATGAAGCTTTCACTTCAGAGGGAGCTTGAGGGAGTGTAGCCATAAACTGCAGATTGACAAAATCCAAAAATCTATCAAGTTTTTTTTTCTTGTTTCTTGTTCAATATTGTGGTCACCCTTAATGCCCTTAAAAATATCATGTTACCTTCTTTGTTGTCAAGTTGCTATATATTTCTGTGTGTTTTTTTAAATAGTTTTATTACAATGGATTCAGAAAACCAGTAGGCCACCCAGACTGAATTGTGGAATGTATTGTAAGGTCACAATTTGAATTGATTTCTCGTATATCAATTCTTTTGATCTAAGAGGCAGAATTGTGAGTCAACTATTATGGTATTCACTGCAACCTGTTGACAAAGCCTTTAATTATTTATTTTTTTATACAGGTTGTTTATTTCAATGTTGAGTCCAATGATTTGACACAGTATAACACAGTCCATGTGTAACTTCTTTCTTGAAAAGTATGCTTTTATGTTGCATGATGTCAGAGTACTAGTGTATAGTTGATGGTTATATACTTAAAGGTGTTGGAAATGAATGTTGTAAACAACAATTTCAGTGCAAAGTAGGAGCTAGACATATTATTAAAAACTGCATATTACATACAATTACATTTATTGGTATACAATTTAAACAACATGTTCAGAATGTAAAATAAAGATATATTATAATTTTGAGTCACAATTGTGATTTTGTAAAAGAACAGATTTCATTGCAGGATAACTAGTTAGAAGAACTAGTGTTGATTTTTCACAGTAAATGAGGGCTAAATCTGGGTAGGACTATTCTGGTTTGCTTCACTGGTGGGTAGTGTTCTCTCTCAGGAGCAGGACCAGTGATGTGACAGCTTTCAGTTGCAGTTTAAATATTTCGACACAAGTGAATTGGTGTTTTTGCTAAGATAAGGACTTCCTTAAAGAGAATAGGAGGATGTGCATCTGTTCCAGAATTAGGGGAGTGTTGAAAAACAGGAAAACACAATAGGGTTTAAATATTTCAACCATATTAACCCTGCAATTGCCCTGGTGACAAAAGTCATCAGTGTTGAAAATGCTTTTGCTAATTTGATATTTGATGTATACATTTTATTTCTCAATCATACTTTTCTTTCAGACAAGAAAATATTATTTCAAATGTGTACATGTAAACGAATTCCAAAACATGGGTCATTCAAACAGATTTGGACCATAAAGATAACTGGAGCAGCTTGTTTATTTTAATTTTAACATCTAGTAGTATGATTAACTGGACACCTTTATCCCCATTTCTTTATTTTAGTCTCTTACATATGTACTGTTTAAGAATAACTGGGCATTTTTTATTCTCTTAAGATAAGAGATAACATATCATTGTGCCCATGTGAACCACCAAGTAAAGAATTTCAACAAAAGAACACAATACAATGTTTCTTAAAGGAAATCCAGTAAAGGCTTTGTTGTAAAATGAGGTCTTAAAAATACATTGAAATTAGAAACTGTGCAAACTATATCTAGAAGATGATTTGTAAGAGTTGACAAACTAAGGAGGTATGTAACATCTGGCTATCATATACAGTAAATCTGGCCACTCCTGCCTTTGGAAACTGATGTTCTGTATCTCTGATCATGTTAATTATTTCGCATGTGAATCACTATGTACAGTATTATGTTCAATTGTAAACTCAAAATGTCCATACTTTAAATATAAAATTATATTGTTAGTTTTTTACAGTAGAGTTCATATTGTTTATTAGGTGTTAGTTCTGCTTTCCATTCTCTAGTTTTGTATCTTCATGAGTTTCTTTTTCTCAATATCAATCAATAACAATGTGATATCCTCATTAATTTAGCTAAAGATTGAAGTTCTAGTCATACTCAATTACACAATCTCAAATCCTGAAACTAACTTAAAATAAGTAGTATCAAATTAGCCATGTAAATATAACAATGACAATCATGACAATTAATTTTCTTGTATTTACAGCCTTACTTTTCAGTGGAATTCCCTTATTGTATTTTTAAACTTTTATTGTGACTTATTTTAAAAACCAAAGAAGTTCCCTTTATTGCTTCACAATATTTTCTCTAAAAGTCCCTTCAGAAGAAAGAGGCATTGCTAAGGTTACAAAGTGTCGCAGTTACAGTGAACATCAACTAAAAAAAAATGTATCTGGATTGTCAAAAAGCAAATTCCTACAGATAGCACGCAATAAACCCAAATTCTCAAAAGAAGGGCTGCTCAAGTACAGTGGAAGCGGTCTGTTTTCTCAAACACATTTTTTAGAGAATCAGTCTATTTCAAGAAGTATTGCATTGTGTTAAAACACCACATCACTAAAGAAGCTACAACAGATTTAATATAATCCTGGTGAAGATTATTAAAGATATCTTTCTGGTTTCTTCAGCTCAGTAACATCTAGTAATGGTATTCATTACCTAACTCATGTTTCTTATTGACCCTTAAACACATATGTGTAATATCTGTATATACTTCTCTAAAATGTTCAGGACAGAAAGCTGTTATGCTGGCACACAAACACTGCCAGTCAAAAGCTAAATTGACGCAACAGTCATTTGATCATGCATCACCCTTAGAAATGAAAAACATTTACAAAATAAGCCATTCTGTTTAATGGTCATTTTATTTTACCATGGAAATCGTAAGTCAATGGTTCAGTTGTTTCACATTGTTCTTTTAAGGGCAACCTCTAAGACTGTCTGTCTCTTTGTGTTTCAGTGGAGCCTGAGTTCAAGTATGTGGGGAATATGCACGGAAACGAGGTACTCGGTCGGGAGTTGCTTATTCAGCTTTCCCAGTTCCTGTGTGAGGAGTATCGAGCTGGCAACGCAAGGATAATGAGGCTGATCCATGACACACGGATCCACATTTTGCCCTCCATGAACCCAGATGGATATGAGGTGGCAGCTAGCCAGGTACCAAAGTCGAATATTCTCCTTTTTTGACATCCTGGTTTTATATGGGTTCATCAGAAAGGTTGAATAAGTAAACAAAAAATTACCAAATATTCTCCCCCAGATCAGCTCTGTCTTTTGAGTCTGTTATGTTCCACTATTTTCAGATATAGACAACAGAGTGAGGGTACCTCACTAAGTTAATGTGAAGATTAAATGTAAAATAACATGCAGATGTGTATTAAAATATTGGGGAGACCTCCCACACATACAAGAAGCTGGAAAGATAAGATATACAAATTAAAAGGACTGAATGTTTTGTAAATGAAATTACAAATCTGAGATTTCTAATCCTCAATTCACTCAAGTTGCAGGCTCTTATAGAACAGCTTCTCTGATGTCATATACTGTATGCAATAATCTGTGGAAGACGTTCTGAACCCATCATTGGCAGAACATATGATCATTAACCAATGGCAACTGACAGTCACACATAATCTTGTTACTGTGTTAAGAGGGCAGCGCCCTGCTCAACTGTTTCATTGGTTGATAGATGCACCAACCAGAGGCCAAGTGCAACGTAGGCCAGTAGAAATGCAGCCAGTCTGACAAACACTCACACAAAGCTGCTTTGTTACCACATAATGTATGTGTGTCAATGTAAAGCTAAATTATATTTAAGTTTATTAGTTGGCAGCGTGTTTTAAGAGTACCAAAAAGTCTTTTATTCAACATTATGCACACATAATGTTATACACACTTAGTTATACACACATTAAACTGTGTTTCTAAATAATGCTTCGTAATTTGCTATTAACATCCCAATCTATTAGTTGTGCATGTTAGTAAAAACATTCAATGCCTAGTTAATATTTTGGAGGGTGAGATATCTTTGTTTTGGGGTCACTGATTCCGGCAGTCAGAAAGACATGTTCAAACTATAACTGTTTTGCAAACACTATGCATAGACCTTTAAGTGCAAGCAGGAACCCTGCCCTTTTGTCAGTAACAACTACAGAAAAACTGCTGAGCAAGCATGGTCTGTCTTTGGCACTGTGCTGACTGAATACAAGCATACCATTTCAAGCATAAAGTAGGGAGTATTCCATGTTGCCTGAAGTTACAGACACTCTGGAATGCAAATTGTCCCATCATTTTCTGTGTCTCCTAATTACATGCATGTTGTTGTCTGTTTGCCTATCCACAATGCTAGAGGTAGATTATTTTACCATTGTTCCAAGAAAAAAATAATTACACATTATAGAAATCAGCAAGAACACAGAGAATATGTCCTCCAGTAGCTTTATACACATTTTATCTTGATTACGGGCTCAATCATAAGTGCCTCCCCTGTATCTGAAATACCTAAGTGGATTGACTCTGCCAGGATTTCAAACTAGACCTGGAGAGAGAAATTGTTGCAGTTTTCATAGCTTTTGAATAAGCTCCTACAGATTTTAAAAACCAATACACATACATTTACAATGTTATACAACACATATAGCTGCACACAAGTCACACAACAAATTGACTTGCACTTGAGCTGTTCACATGGTTATAAATAAGTCAACTTCACATTGTAAGACACCTTCATTTATGTGTCCAAATCATGAATTTGAAGGTAAGTTACATGTAAAATATAGAAAGAATCAATATACCAAGAATCATATGTCTCAAAATATAACAAATGCCAAGCACTGCTTGTCTCGTGTTATTGTGTGTTAGTTCAGCACTGACGAGGGCAGTGGAGCTTAGTAGTGAAAATGTCTGTTATACACACATTAAACTGTGTTTCTAAATAATGCCTCGTAATTTGTTACGATGTTGAATGTTATTACAAACTGAGTCTTCAAGTCTGAACATATCGCAAATGCATTTGTGTTTGCATAAAACATCTAAATTGGTGGTAGCTTTGCCATTCATTGGAAAACTACTCAATATGAAAGGGAATTGGGCAAGTGTGTGAGTCATTGACTGGAAGAAAATGAAAAAATCTCATAACAATGTCAGAGTGGTCTTTATTTGAGTCTGTTCCATTGGTGACTGTGCAGGGACCAGAGGACAATGGGTATCTCACAGGCAGGTCCAATTCCAGAGACGTGGATCTAAACCGCAACTTTCCAGACCTGAATGCTCTGATGTACTATTATGAGAAAATCAACGGGAAGAACCATCACCTTCCTCTGCCAGACAACTGGGAAGAACAGGTAAGACACAGATCACAGTGAGAGAAACAATTATTCTACGGAGCTAAAATGTCCATAATATGTTGCATTAGATTAATTTTTTACACTTTTCAAAAGCAGTGATTCTTCTCATACTATTTTATTATGCCATGGGAACGGAACATGTTAGAAAGGCAAGTGCATAGCTTTTTGTTGTCCATAATAAGTAAAAATATTAACACCCCAAAAAATGATTGAAGTTGTTAAACAGCTAAAAGTGGAGTACCTTTTGTTCAAAAGCAGTAATGGTGCTACATTACATACCTCATGAAATCAATAGAAACAAAAAGCCTTGTTCACTGGAGAGGTCAAAAACTGGCAAAAACAGCACTCCCATAAAAAGGATAGGTTGGCTTCAGTCCTATAGTGTCAACTATAATCATAGAAATACAATAACACAAACAACAGCTCTGTCTGCAGGATGACCAGGTGTACAGTACCTAATCATCTGTCTGGAGGCTAAATATAGATGAGTGGGAAAGTGACTGACCATAACAAGGCTGTTGCATAGAGGGAAGTGAGGCCAGAAATGATATTCCAAGAGTGAAGATCAAGACATCACCTGTCTTCCCATCCCCAGATAGGACACAGCTTGGCTCAAAGATGTCTGTTCATCTCCAATTCTGTTTTGTTTTTATTTTTTGAAGCTAAAATAAAAGATCTGCTGATGAGTTTAGTGTACTTTGTGAATCAGAACATTAAAACCTTTTTTTCTGGTTTTTGAGTGCAAGTGTATTGCTAGCTTTGCTTTTCTGTGGCATTTTTTTTGTTGGGGTGACAGTCTATTTGAGCTGTGCGTTTAATAGCTTTTTTTTCCTCACCGTAATTATACACCCTTCCCCAATACACAACTGCTTCACAAGGCCTTTGCCTGCATGTTGTTTCTTGCCATCTTCATCCACACATTGCAAATAACATCAGTGTTTGTAGTGAATTCTGTACACGCTGTAATACAGAGAGTGGTCTGAGGATTGCGAACACAGACAAACAATTGCAGTGCAACAGCTGCTCTAAGGTACCTGTAAACAGCTCTCTAGAGCAGAGTGACAAGGCGAGTCCTCCACTCCAAGTCCATATTCTGAATCAGCTGACCTCAATTAATAGCTCCCCAGGGATGGATGATGCAAAGGCAATATGGAGGCCTCTCTCGCTCTCTCTCACTGGCAGAAGTGAGAAATGACCTCCTGCCAAGTAGCTGTTCCTTCCTTAAGGAAGCCCCCACACCAAGCATGTTACTTGCCTTTCCTATACAAACCACCCAGCCCTAGGGTATCTGAGGCCCAAATGTCACTCCCTAGGGGTATAACCACTAGAAAGTTAAAAACAGCTCTACAATTAGGTACAAATAAGTCTTCACTGCTAATTGCTGTTAACTGCAAGCATTCAAAGAGTCCTGTCACAGGTCTTATTTGACAGACCACAATGAGGCCAGTACTGTGTCGAACTAGAAACTGGGGGAGGAGTGTGTTTGGGGGGGGGTCGGTTATGTGCTCTAGCGAGCCCATCTGGGTTTGTTTTCTTAGCCATCAAATGCTATCATTCCCGGGGGGATAAAAAACAGTGGCCAGCCTGTACCTCATTCTGAGTTCCATCAGCCGCACTTGGTATACACACTGTACAATGGTTTCTGCTTTCTTTTCTGAAAGAATTATGCTATTCAAAAACAATAGACTAAGATTTCCCCATTACGCTTTTGTCAGGGCTGCTGCAATATCTCAGTCTTGAAAAACAAGGAGGAGTGGTAGTTTCAAAATCTGCAGTTTTAATCAATTGAACTGCAATTATTGAAAGGCAATCAAAGAATATGAGAGCCAAATTTTTTGAGTAGTTTCCCAGTCTAAACGTGGGGGTGCAGCTTCTGAATTGAGATTTTAAACTTAATTGTTTCTTTCCCTCTAAAGTTTTCATTTGAATCTGTTTTTTTTTATCTTCTACAGTAAAGCACCTAAAACAATACATTTAGATCAAAGGATTTAAAAACCGATTTAAACGTAGTTCTTTAAGGAAAAAATTACATGTCTAAACTATTTTTTAGGTAGAGCCTGAAACCCTAGCTGTGATCCAGTGGATGCAAAATTACAATTTTGTCCTGTCAGCTAACCTGCATGGCGGGGCTGTTGTGGCAAATTACCCCTTCGATAAGTCTCGTGAGCCCAGGGTGCGGGGGTTTCGCAAGACTGCCTATTCTGCCACACCAGATGACAAGATTTTTAAAAAGGTAAAAAAAGGTAGAGATATGCCTTCTCCTTTTGTGTCAGGGATGTATGATCTTAATGATTTCTTTAACTACAATGTTTTAATTTATTGGGGGGGAATCAACAATATTGTACAGCTCCATCTGTATCTAAATTGATAAAGTAATTTAACAGCTCCAGAAAGCAAGACAATATGAATATGATTTTATGGAATATTAACAACAGACTTTTTCTCCCCACTCTCCTGCCCTGTCACATGCAGTTGGCTAAGACATACTCATACGCCCACGGCTGGATGCACAAAGGCTGGAACTGTGGGGATTTTTTCGACGAGGGCATCACGAATGGAGCACACTGGTACTCTCTCTCTAAAGGTGCCAGAATTGTCTCTTCTCTCTCAATCACCTCATAGCATGGCAGGTGGTTTTCTTTCACGTATCTATATGTTTATGATTTTTATAGGAATGCAAGACTTTAACTACCTCTACACCAATTGCTTTGAAATAACCCTGGAGCTAAGCTGTGACAAGTTCCCTGCTACAGAGGCCCTGCAGCAGGAGTGGCTGGGTAACAGGGAGGCTCTGATCTCCTACTTGGAGCAGGTAGGAACCATCGAAATGGCTGTTTGTGTTGCAGAACCTCACAGTTGGACTTACACAGCTGTCACTTCCTTACCCTTTGATATACAATAAATGTGGCAGGGTTGCTTATTTTAACAAACAGGCAGTCCATCCATACATTTATTATTAATGTATAACCTACTACTCTACAATCCTACACATCACTTTTCCCAACAGAATATCATTGCACGATAAAAATATTGTGTCATCTGGAAAGAAAAGCTGACATGCTGTGATGTATCCTTTATGAAGGTGCTATTTAGGGTGATAAGTAGGCACTGTGCATTACAAATCAGTTTCATTTGGGTACTACTTGGCAACAATGCTCATCTGAAATTACAGATCGAAGGAGAGCTCTTACCAGAAAACATATAAGATTTGTGTATCACGTTGCCTTAAATAAATCACGATTCAATCAATCATTAGCTACTCTAGAACAAAAATGGAAAATTAAGCTCCATGCGAACCGTGGATCAAGGAAAGTCTTGCTCAAAACTACCACGTGCACTGGCTTAGCTAAAAACAAAATCACAGAACCTTGAGAGGAGTCTGAAAAACTAGACATGGATTGAATAACAGGTGGCTCATTACATTTCCATGTAAACTCTTATTTAATTTAAAAGGTATATGGTTTAGTAGTATATATTTCTGATGATAATGGCATTTACAGTAATCCCTGTCTTGTGCATGTACAGTATGTGCAGAAAAGTTGCCATCAAGTACTGTATTTGTAATTTGTGGCAGCCTTGAATGCCTCCATTTAATCTGACTCGGGCAGTCCCACATTCAGAGATAATTCTGAGTGTATTAAATGACAGAGGCTCTTCCACAGAAAAGTCTTATGAGATGCAGGATTAGTATGCAGAATGGGGTTTTGCACAATACAGCATAATAAACAAGAGTGGAAAGTGTTACCTCCCAGGTGGCTCAGCCTATAAAGCACAAACACAGGCCGAGTTCTCTGATAATGGGTTTGAGCCTGCATCTTGTCATTCTCTAAGCACAACTGAAGGTTCGGCACCTCGCATCTTTCCAGTGATGTTTCATTTGGTTGAATTACAAATGGTGTATATAATGTGAATATTTTAATCACAATTTGAATGCTTGGACTGAACATTTTAATGGGTGAAAAAAGGTAAATGTCAGGAAAAGAAAAGTGAAAAACTAAAATGCGTTGATTTCATCAGTATTCATTCCATGTCGATATCTGGTAGAGGCCCCTTGCTTTGATTCTTTTGATGAAAACAGCACTTTTTAGATAAGCTCCGGAGAAAGCACAGAGCTTTCATGGAATTTGTTCATGAGCAGAGGGACATGATGGTGCAGTGGTTAGCATTGCTGCTTTGCAGTGCTGGGGCCCTGGGTTCTGGACCTGGGGTGCTATAAGCATGGAGTTGTATGGTCACCCTATGTTCATGTGAATTTTTGCTGGGTGCTCTGGTTTATTCCCACTGTCCAAACAAATACTGGTAGGTTAGCTCTCTTCTGGGAAAATCAGTCCTGGTTTGAGTGTGTGTGTATGTCTGGGTGCCCTGTGATGGACTGCCTTGCACACGTTGTTTGCTGGGTCAGACTTCGGCTCCCTCGCGACCCTGTATTGGATGAAGTTGTTAGAAATGGATGGCGGCAAAAGAGATGGCACAGAGTTTACAAATGATTCCCTAGCTTTCAAGCAGTGCCGTGCTTCACCTTATCCTCTTTTGACTCTGTCTAGATTCACCATGGCATCAAAGGCATGGTTTACGATGAAAATTACAACGGCATTGGCGACGCAGTGATTTCTGTGTCGGGGATCAATCACGACATCACAAGCGGTGAGTGCCTGAGATTTTGTTCTTATTTGCCATTATCAGTAGACCGTGGGTTTGTTGTCTCGGTTCCAATGCCTCTGTGTTTTCCTGAAGGTGCTGGGGGAGATTATTTCCGTTTGCTGTTACCTGGGACCTACACTGTAACTGCGTCAGTCCCTGGATACCTGCCTTCTTCCAGACTGGTTACGGTGGGTCCTGCAGAAGCTATTGAGGTAAGGGCATTTCAATATAACAACATACCTGTAAGAGCAGTTACAAATGAGAAGAGGCCATTCAGCCCGTCTGCACCATGGGGTATAGTCAACAGATACCAGGATCTCATCCAGCTGCTTTTTGAAAGAAACCAAGGTCTCAACTTCAACACAATGGCTGGGTAGCTTCATTCAAGGGTGAATACTTAGATTATTTTTCTCATTTTAGGCTTTTACCATTCTATTCATCCAAACGCATGCATATGTCCATGAAAGTTGATACTGTGACAGAGGAGCATACAGTGTTATTTACACATTGTCTTGGATTTGATGCTCCTGTAAAATGCTGTAATTACATCTAAATTAATAATAATAAACTTTATTTTATAAAGCACCTTTAAAGGTGGCTTCTCAAAGCGCTTTACAGGATGACAATAACAATAAATAAGAAGACTACAACAATAAATAAGAAGATTGATTGATTATTGCTTGAAACAGACTAGATGAAGTAATACACTAGCTCTGTTTAAATAATGTTCATGTTTCTGCCCTAAATTGCTTGCAAATCCTAATAGATCTTTTTTTGCCTTGCTAACCAAAGTATTGCAGGTTAAAATAGCTCATATACATTGTAAATGTGAGGTAAGCAATACATCTGAGAAGAGATTTAGTATGCCTGGCCAAGCCATAGTAACTTGCTTTCTTTTAGTTTCTCTTTAGAATCACTGCAAGCATTGTCTGGCCAAAATTAAATAGAATTGGGTTTATCATTGGTATTATTAGGTTACACAATACAGGTGATTAGGTTAAAATTAAGGTCAGGATTTGAATTACAACTGAGATTGGAATGAACCCCAATTAGAATTCAATAAAAATAATAAAAATAAACAGTTACTTTAATTTCTTGTTACGAAGAGGTTACTAGGAACACATGATTGCATTCAGTTTTAAATGCTGAAATGTTGGTTACAGTATTGACATTATGTACATCCAGAGAAGAAGTATTTTTTACATGTAACAAATAAAATGTGTCTAACTGCCTTTTAAGTGTAGGGGAAGAAGTGCAAACATTTGCTTACATCTACATCATGCTATAATTGATGTGATTGCGTAATGGAAGAGGTAAGTTGTCCGTGACTGTCCTGCTCAAGATTGGAAAAACAGTGTCTGTTGTATTTACTTGTTTCCAGTTACACTTCTATCTAAAATTGGCCCCTAAGGACACCACTGACGTGAATCTCAACAGAAATATTCACAACATAAAGGATCCCCTGTCAAAGGTCCCACCAAGAAATCTTGGGCCAAGATGAAGGATATTCTACTGCCTGTGGTGCCGCCTGTGACAGGGAGAGCAAACAGGGATGATCTCCCTCCTTACAAACAAACCTTTCTTCTCTGTTCAACAAAATCTTTTCTTTTACCCTACTTTTTTTATATATATAAGAAAAGCAGTTTTCTCAGAGAATTACCTATTTTGTTAAACATCATATTTATATACTGAGTTTCAGAAAGTGTTTTGGACATAGTTTTGTGCTCCAGGTAAACCAGCTTCAAATATGTAAATAATGTCTCCATGACAACCTTTTTGCAAGTGTTCCAAAATATTGATCCTGCTAAACCATATACTTCTGAACACCCCCCCCCCCCACATCAAAATACATATTTACCACAAGAATGTGCTTACTGTCTTTTGTGTATTATACTTAAACTTGATCATACATTGATAAATCAGTGTACTGTCCTACATTGATGATAAATGCATACATACATGTCAGAAGTCAAACATGAAAGAAAAACAATGGGAATTCAAAGTCCTTAATATACAGGTATCTTCTAATAATCTATGAAAAGGTGTAGCTTTCAAATACACTCCAGCTCCACGGCAGTAACGGATGGTGAAATGAACAAGGACTGTTAAAAACTGGTAAGGGTAAGATAAATGGTTAAGTCAGTAAACATAAACAATTTTGAATCAAATGATGAACAACTTGATTATCTTCAAAGGCTGCCAAATGCTGATGGGGAGGTTTGTGTTTCTGTACAGAAAACATTGCTCTCAGGCAATGTTTATCTCCTTTTAAAACTGATTTTGTGTTTTGTCAGTGTCCATGTGATCTGGAAGGTCAATGTTTCAGAAAAACAAAAGATGCACAATGTGAAATAAAATGTCTTCATTTTTGACTGTGCATGTAAAATTCCTAAAGGCCTCTTTTTGCAGATTTTTTTATCCTTCAAAATATTAAAGGTCATGAGTTCTACAATAGCCTAGGGACCCAATACATTCCAGAGACTGCACTGGACAATGTGACTTATTTAACTTTGTCAATCATCTGTTTTCCTTCTGATAAATACAAATTGCATTACTTGGTGTTCAAACAGTGAGGCAGCTTTTTACTGAGGTAAACACTTTCCAGTTTTCTTAATTAGTATAGGTTAAGGTGTTTTTTCATTATCCTTACATTTTTTCTTACATTATAGTGCTAAAGGTTCTTTTTGTATGTTATGTACATTATATTAGTAACCAATTAAAAGATTATTTAAATGTGTAATGATTCCAGTTCTTGAAGAAATCTAATGTATTTTTCTAGTGAGCACTAAACTGTCTCTGAAAATGACTCCAAATTCCTCAGTTTGCCTAGAACTACTTTACACATTGATGTGGTTACAGCCATTGAATGTCAAGATTTACTACACACTCACTCAATAGAGAGAAACCCTAACCTTAACTACAGGATCTGCACCAGTTCCATAAAATTAAGTCCACAAATAAGTATTTAATTCTCTTGAAACTGTTTTGAAATGTTATTAAAAGCCAGCCTGCTAAGTACATGTACAAGGTCAATATTAGAACCACTTGTTTTCCAACAGTGAGCACAAATCATCTTTCAAAATAATAAAATTGAAATACCATGTGCCTTGAGGGGAAGGTGTTTACTCCTTTTCCAGCCACATGAAGGAAACCTCAAGATGTTTAAATGGAACAGTGGTATTTTAGGATGCTGGGACAGGACTTATTTACTTATATCATTTTATCTATGCATAGTATTATATATAATTATTAAAACCTTTTAATCATCAAAAAGCCACAGTCCACATTTAAAAGGTGAAATTGTGTCTTAATGGTGAAGTAAATATTAAAGCAAGGCTTTGAAGTGTCTGTCTTGCAAAATGTCTTAGATGCATATATTTAGAGTTGTATTTCTAATAGCCTTAAGTGTGTGTGAATGAATTCATATATTTCATATACGGTATGAAATGAGTCTTAAGTACATATGTCATGGTAAAGCACCATAATCCAAGACAAGGTAATATGGAGACTGAAGCCAGTCTAGAAGACAGTCAGAAGTGTGTATCTACAAAAATATGAACTGTGGTCCTAATTATTGTAGTATATGTTCTTAAAATTATATGAATGTCTGTAAAATAGAAAAGATCAGATCAGAAATGTTTAAGAAAATAGGATCCTTTTTATGCCTTTTGGCAAAAAATAAGGCCAGTTAATTGTTTGGGCCCAAATGTGTGTAATAATTCAACAACAGCATATCCCTGAGAACATATCTGGGAGACATAATGTATAACACATTAACAGCAGAGTCTAAAACAGGCCCGAGCAACTCCGGTCCTTGAGAGCCATGTAATCAACTGCTTTGTATTTCACCTTTGGCCTCTGGCCCCTCAGAGACTTGCCCGTGCCTGGTCTAAATCACCCCATGGCTATAGCGGATTAAAATCATCAACAATTACACAGTGACCTACAGTTCTTACAATCCAATGCCACGGATATCATTACAAAACTTTGAACTTTAACAATGATGCACAATTTCAGAATTGAAATGATCAATTACGATAATTTAAGTTAAAAATAAATTTTTGAAATAGAATAAATAAATGGGCAGCAGGGTACCACAACCTTAAAACCAAGTACAGAATTGTCATATTTAGACACTAGATGGCGGCGTCAACGCACATATTCTTTTTTGGAAAAACCTTGCCAAACATCACGTACAGATTGGAGAGCATCCAATTTTCATTGAGCTAACTCCTCTGTTCTTGATATACTGTGGCTGGGAAATGTCTGTCATCAAACATTGTTTTTTTTTCTCTTCAGTGCTATTTTTTCCACAGTTTTTAATTGCTTCTCACAAACACCACCAAAACAATAGCAACTCTCCAAGAGGAAATGGGAAAATAAGTATCGCAATTACCACACCTATGATGGCAGCTTTGGAAAACTGAGTGCCTTGATTGTTTAATGAATCAGTTTTCAGTTCTGATAGCAGTATTCAGTAATCTATTCCAGAGTCAGTCAATTAATCTGTTCATTTATCTAATGACAGTCATAATATTCATATTAATATTCATATTAACATCATATTATGCTTCACAAACTCACAATGATTTACTAGTTAATATATACAGCCTATATAAAGTAGCAGACCGTTTTTCTTGTCATAGCTTGTTTTTTATGTACAAGCTAGAACAGACATATAGACATTTACCTTAGAATACAATCAGCTCCACGGATTGGGTATACATCCACCCATTCTCTAACTGCTCCCCCTAGTATCCTGGCATGCAACAGGCACCAAGTAGGACGCCTCCTGGACAGGACACCAGTCTGTCACAGGGCACATACAGATACAAACAGACACATCAGAGCCACTTCTCCCAGAAGCCACTTAACCACTGGGTATGTCTTTGGACTATGTAAAGAAACCAGAGCACCTGGTGGAAACATGAACATACAAACTCCACACAGATAGCACCCCAGGTCCAGAATTGAACCCAGGGCCCCAGGGTTGTAAGGCAGCAATGCTAACCACTACACCACCACACCTGAGCATACAATATGTTGAAAATAAAATATGCTCGTCTCTAAAGTTTAATTCTCTGATTCATCAGAATTTATAGTTTGATCCCACGCACATGTTTTTTTATTTTAATTTATTGCTTAATGTTTTTTTTCCACAATGCTAGAACTAGTGTGAAAAAAAGAAAATTTCACATGACTCAGCTGCTGTTTGCTATTCAATGCGTATATACTGTAGCTCTGGCTCTTAAGAATGATCTCATTTAGTGAGAAAAGAATAATTCTTCTTTCTCTATCCCCCTTTACAGCTCTTATCGGATTCCTTTCAAATAACTAGGCACAACGTGCACTACACACTCACCACAGAAGTCAGCAGTTTTAGTGTAAAATGAAAAGGTCAATGGAGTGATATTTCTAAACATTAAAAAAATTATGCAAACAATTTGTGGCAGCGTTGCCATGTCATTTTGGAATATATGCGTAGGAGTTCATGCATTTCATATCCAAAAGGCCAGACAATCAGGGTCCTTTTTTCATGCAAAAATATGCGCTCTGGAAATCCTGATATCTGGGACCTGAGGGAGAACATTAATGAATGAGTCACCCTCCAGTCAGGCCTCAGTCTGGCTCTGCGTCAGCAGTGCACAGCACACTCGTGAATGTGAGCACCTAGAGACACCAAGCTCCACTGCCTTGTGGTTTCCTCCAATTGTAAGCTGGAAATAACAAGTAAAACAAGCAGGATGGCCAAACAGATTCACACTTTAGTTTTCCAATAATAACAGCTTTTGATCCAGAGGTAGTACTACTAACTCTGTGGTATGCTCAGTTCACAACACTCTCCATTTATTTGATATTTTAGCACTGATTATGATAAAGGAACCTTAAATTGTAAACACAAGGAAACTTACTTCCGATAATTCTACAATCACTTGATTCTCAAAAAATAAGGACTGCTCTCTCAGTCCTAAGCAACGTCTGAAATTTACTTTTAATTAATTACTTCAATATCGTACACAAATCAAACAGTGATGTATTCTTACCCACAAGTTATCTATTACTAAGTTCAAAGGACCAAATTGACACAAATGGGTGTATAAATCAAATAGGTTCAACTATCTCACAGGTTGTAAACAACCAAATGGTAAACTGTTATGAATCAAGCCCTCTGTGTATCTTTTTTGTCTGTTTTGGTCTGCAATCTCTGGAGAAGGTGAGCGTTGCTTGGTAACAAACTAGTTTACCTATTGCCTTAGGCCACTAGGTTCAGATCTCCACTATAACAGCTCAGGCAGAATCTGACCCCTTTAATTGTTCAGACATCCAGGCCAGGCAGCTGCCTTGGACAATACAGTATTGCTTCATCTCGTAAAATTAAACCACAAAAGGAAAAACATTTATTTTCTTAACTCATCTGTTTCTCATTTTTCCCCTTCATAAGTAAGCATATAAAATTGAATTTTTTGATTAGGGAGAAAGAAGCATCAGTTTCCCAGTACTACAATTTCCACATAAAGAGAAGTGCACAAATGCATGTTATCTGTTATTTTGTGTCTATTCTAAACATGGCAAATTCTAGCAAGAGTACAAAATTATCCAAAATGCTTGAGTTTCTCAAAGGGCAAAGGTACGTTTAATGTTTTGGAGTGTGGTGGCAGAATTGTAACTCCCCACCCCCCACTAACACAGGCTATATTTTAGAAATGAACTAACATTCAAGTTCCAGCTCTTAGATTATGTCGTGTTTATTGTATACTGCATCATAAAGAAAGTGTCTGGAGAGGAATACTAAAATTGTCCTAAAACAGTACAAATAAGTATACTTTTTAATAGTATACACGAGAAAATGCTATTAACTCATTTTCTCACACTGAATCTCTGTCAAAACGTTCTTCTGGGATACATACTTTATGAGTACAGGTAGAAATAGAATGAATTTTCCTCATGATTCTTTTGTCTTAAAATTGTGTAAAATTGGGAGATTGGCTATCACTCAAAGAATGAGTGGTATTATTTATGGAAGTCCCTGTCAGTGCTTTAGAAATAGGGTACAATTTGGAAACAACAAGACAGTATTATCTAGATCTGAAAAGGCAGCTTCAAAAAAATACTGTAACAGTTCCCCTAACTCAATTTCCTGAAAGCTTTAGTGTTAAGTGACTTGTTTTGATTAGACAAAGTAGACAGGGACAACTCACTTTTTGTAGATTTTCAATTAAGCATGCAAGTACAGTATTCCTCGACTTTCAGAGGCCTCCCTGAAAAGGTAGCTTATGGGAAGATAAAGACAGAAGTTTCTTTTCACATTCAAATAAGTATTCTATTTGGTCACTTTCATGAGCCCAAACTCAGAAATAGAAGTGTTCCTATACAGTGGGGGATACATGAATAGAATTAGAATACCAATCAACATTTTAAAAAAAATAGTAAGCTTTTTTAAAATATTGTCTCATATGTATAATTAGAATATTTTTGTAAAATAAAAATAAGAAATTTAGAACCAGTTTTTTTTTACATTTTCATTGTTATACATTTGTACATTGTTTCAGAGCATGTATAGTACCTAAAGTCGATGGCTGCTTTGCAAAGCAGCATGAAGTGACCCATCATCTTTTTATGCAGGCAGAGTAAAGACAGCCCGTGTTTCATTGAAGGTCCCTGGCAGGAGTGGGTGCTGATGTCAGCAGGGAGGGAGGCTGGCTGTAGGAGCTTCCATCTGTATGACAGCTGATTGCTGTGTAGTGTAAGTGATCCTGGTTACACAGGGATTATGTTATCTATTGGCCCCATAGACTTTATAAAGCAGGCATAAACGTTTTAATAGCGACGGTGCTATAAGCATCTCCGAAAAAAGGTTTGGCCCCACGTCAGTTTTCATTCATGGAAACTACCGTACTTAATAACTGGCATCTTAAAAGGGTGAAATAGTGGCCAGTGAAAAGCTTGGATCAATCCGCTAGACCGAAATTACGATCCAGACCCGAGACGAGGAGCCCAGAAACCTGCGCAGACAGGTAAATTAATCTTCTGTAGTACGAGCAAGGGGCGGATTATTGGATGGGTAAAATAAAACGATTCGCATTATGAAATTCACAGAAAATCTCCAGTCTGCTGAACGAGGAGCCTAACGACCGATCCAGCAAGTACGCTAGCAAGTTTAGTTGCTGATCGTGATGTAACTTGTAATTAAATAGTTTATTGAGCTTTTTTTATCCAAAGCGGAACTTTTTACGGACTCTCTGTTATGCTTATATCGTAGGAGGTGAACGTAAAAGAGTTTAAAACGGTGTAGCTCCTTCCAACTAACCTGCCAGTACGTGAGTTTTGCCTTCTAAACTCTGTTTGGATTCATTACTATAAAAGTGTATCTGAAATAAATTTAGTAATTTTGTTACTTGGTAAGTAACGCGAACCTATGTTTTAATATTGATAGCCTTTCTGTGTGTAATCTGATTTCTGTATTGAGCGTGAGCTCTTTTCGTGTGATGGGAGTAGCTGCATGAGCGCACGCACAAAAAATGTTTCCGAATTGTGGCGCTGCATTTTTCTAGCTTTTAACGACGACTTCAAGAGGTTTCATTTGATAGTAAACCACGCTAAAGCACGAACTGTTGTGTTTTACTTAAACGGGTGCCAGTTACGATTTATACTGCGGTCATATTGTCAAAATGTAAAACCTTTGTTGACAGTGGGCCAATACCTGCAGAAAAGTTTGGAGCCCACACATTGATTTCATGTTTTGAATTACGAAAACCAATCCGAAATACATGTCACTTTGCGTTCCTCAAAATCTGTATTTATTCATTTATACTGTAGCAGACGGTTTCTCTTTGTTATTGAACACTTATTGATTTAGGTAAAAGAACCAGGCAGTGTTTAATCACTGTGACCTAATCAGAAGCTGTGTTTTAAAAACAGTGAGCACGTTTATTTTCGTTCGTAAATGCTGAGTTTTAAGGTTTTTTTAAGCTTCAGTGTTGAAATACTTTTTGAGGGTAAATGCGTGTTGGGGGGAGGAGGGTCTGTATGTTTTTGAACTAAAAATATTTTAAGCTTGCCTTTTATCTGTGTTTCATTGCTCCAATGTGTGTTAAGGGGGATGATGTTTTCTTGATATTCTGTAATTTGTCATTTAAACCATTTTAATGTTCATGCACAAGGAGTGGCCTAAGAATGGAGGCCCAGACATGGAGGAAAGTTACTGTATCTGTAACACTGTATCGTCTACAGTGTGTAGACTGTATTGCTGCATCATGCCACTCATTTTGTCAATTTCAATCATTGACTGCTTTTAAAATTTCCTAGATACAATATAGCCATAATGAGTAAGTGCAGTGATGCCACAAAACAGCCATGAGTTGCAGATGCTATCTGTATGGGATATCAGCAGGGCTTGAAGAATTAAGTAATAACTTAGTATTTGTGCCCCTGATCATTTATACTAGTGAAGTTTGTTGTTTATTATATATAATGTTATTGTTATCTGTTGTGATACAGTCCTATTCAACAACAATGTTTTATAAACTGCGCATGAGAGTGTGTAGATTTCTCTTTTGTTTTTTATTTTTTTATTTTTGTATAGACCTCACTTATCTCTGATGCAATATCTTAGTTTGCTTGATTGAAACAGGCTATATATACTTGTAATGTTTCATATTGTTCAGCTGATTTTGTGATTTTCTTTTTTTAGACGTTAAGAGGACTTGCAACATTTGAATGCACTAGATGAAAAATTAAGTGCCCGTATAACAGAACTTCGTTTTTCTTTTTTTCTACATCCTGTCGAACTTAGCAACATTGTATTGGACAATACATCCATTGCCTCGATTAATTATTCATCTTTAGCATCTCTGGTGTCCAGTGATGGTGGAGTCACATGTGAGTTACTGCAGATCTGTAACCACAACAGTTGGCTTTAGAATTGTTCTCAGAAAAGAGGCTATGCAAATTGGAGATCTTTCAAAAGGACAGTACGATAAATTTAACTGAATAGTTTACAAGCTTTCAAATGTTCAACTGTTCATGTAATACAGAGGATCACAGAACCTTTGTCCATTCGTGGACAGCTAGAGGGCTTCAGATTGTAGTAGTGTCAGAGACTGCACTTTTAATGAACATCACCCTGTATGAGGAACAGAAATGTCTAGAGTTTAGAATATCCCACGTAGACAGGTTTGCCACAGCTAACTAAGCTGTTTATGTGAAAGATTATAGCTGTGTATCATTACAAATATGTGGTAAGAAGTAATTGATCTAATAAATTGGAAGAAAATCCTTAAAAGGGCCATCGTACAGAGTAGATTCTGCATTGTTAACAAACTTCTCAAACAGGAGACAACCAACAAAATGGTGAGGTTAAATCACTTTTTACGGCAGATTTTTAATGTTCTCGTATATCCTTGGGTATACTGAGATACAAAATCCTTTTCAGACTCCCTGCACATATTAATTCTTGGTCTGGACTTGTCTGTAGTCATCATTAGTTTGCCTGGGCATATCTCTGTTAAAGGGAATTCTTTGAAAACGAATGGGTCAGTTTTCCCCACAGTTAGGATTTACAATATAGCTATTCACACTTAGTATTCCACTTTTTCATGTAAGTGTATACAGTTGCAAGAAAAAGTTTGTAAGCCCTTTGGAATTACCTGGCTTTCTGCATTAATTACTCATAAAAAATGTGATCTGATCTCCAACTGAGCCACAATAATAGACAAACGCAGTCTGCTTAAACTAATAACACACAAACAATTGTACCGTCAGTACTGGACACATCGAATAAACTTTCACAGTCCAGGTTGGAAAAAGTATGTGAACGTCTAGGCTAATGAGTTCTCCAAAAGCTAGTCAGGAGTCAGGTGTTCCAATCAATAAGAAGAGGTTGGAGGTGCCCTGCCCTCTAAAAAAGGCACACAAAGGTTGGTTACTGTGTCTGCTCTTCTCAAGAAAGAGCTTTTCATGTGAACCATGCCCCAATCAAAAGAAATATCAGAGAACCTTAGAAGAAGAATTGTAGAGATGCATAAAGCTGGAAAAGGCTACAGAAGCATTTCTAAAGGCCTGGGTGTTCGTCAATCCACAGTAAGACAAATTGTCTACAAATGGAGAAAATTCAGTACTGTTGCTACTCTCCCTGGGAGTGGGTGTCCTGCAAACATCGTGGCAAGAGCGCAGCTTGCCATGCTGAAGGAGGTGAAAAAGAACCCTAGGGTAACAGCTAAGGACCTGCAGAGATCTCTTAGAACTTGCCCAAGTCTCTGTTCATGTGTCCACTATAAGAAAAACACTGAACAAGAATGGTGTTAATGGAAGGACAACACGGAGGAAACCACTGCTCTTAAAAAAAATATTGCTGCACGACTCAAGTTGGCAAAAGACCCCCTGGATGTTCCACATTGCTTCTGGGACAATGTTCTGTGGACTGGTGAGACATAAGTTTAGTTTTTTGGCAGAAATGCGCAACACTATGTTTGGAGGATAAAAAAAACACTGCACACCAATGCCAAAACCTCATCCCAACCGTGAAGCATGCTGGAGGGAGCATCACGGTTTGGGGCTGCTTTGCTGCCACAGGACCTGGACAGCTTGCTATCATAGAGAGAACAATGAATTCAAAAATATATCAAGACATTTCACCTGAGAATGTCAGGGTAGTGGTCCGTCACCTGAAGCTTAATAGAAGGTGGGTGATGCAACAAGACAATGACCCGAAATACAGGAGTAAGTCAACATCAGAATGGCTTAAACAGAAGAAAATTAGTGTTCTGGAATGGCCAAGTCAGAGTCCAGACCTCAACCCAACTGAGATGTTGTGGCATGATCTGAAGAGAGTCGTTCATGCAAGGAATCCCAGAAATATCAATGAACTGAAACAGTTTTGTTAGGAGGAGTGGTCTAAACCGTTGTGCAAGTCTCATCAGTAGCTACAGGAAACGTTTGGTGGAGGTTATTGCTGCTAAAGGAGGGTCTACCAGTTACTAAATATAAGGGTTCACATACTTTTTTCAGCCTGGACTGTGAATGTTTAAACAATGTGTTCAATATTGACAAGAAGTACAATTGTTTGTGTGTTATTAGTTTAAGCAGATGTGATTCAATCAGAATGATAGCCAATCTCCCAATTTTACTAAATATAAGGGTTCACATACTTTTTTCATCCTGGACTGTGAATGTTTAAACAATGTGTTCAATATTGACAAGAAGTACAATTGTTTGTGTGTTATTAGTTTAAGCAGATTGTATTTGTCTATTATTGTGACTTAGTTGAAGATCAGACCACATTTTTATGAGTAATTAATGCAGAGATCCAGGTAATTCCAAAGGGTTCACAAACATTGTCTTGCAACTGTAGGTAACAACAGAGAGCCCATCTTGCTCATATGTTTGCTGGTGGCTTCTACCAAGGGGCTTTTCCAGTTTACTTGAAGACTCCTGGGGAATCGGCTTTAATAACGAGGCCAAATATTCTGTAACACTACCGCCACCCTTGGTGTAAATAAGAGCATGTCTTTGACATAGAACTGGAAATAAAGATAATGTGACTTAAGGTTTAGATGTTCTTTAATTGTCATTCCCTGAAAACCCATTGTCTTATTCTTTGTAATTTTCTTGTTAACCATGATAAGATTGAATCACATTGGAGAGTGCTTCATATCCATTCCTGTAGCATATATACTATGTATACCTGTCATGCTTCAGTCTCTTTTTTTATACAGCTGCATGCATTTCCTTTTTCTTAAATGTAAGACCCTAGAGCTCTAAAAAGTGATTCATGGAAACATAAATACAAGTGCGATTCTTCTAGGCTGCCCATGGATTTTATTAATGAAATTGCTTTGCATTAGCAATCACAATGGGTTTGGCTTTATCAAATTAAATTGTGCACCAATGGATTAACCCATGTCTTCTCTCTGCCTCTGCTTTGCCAGTGCAAGGTTTATAACTTTGAAGTTTTCCACACTTAAACATGATACTGAGTAGATTAATCAACACTGAGGCTAAGAATGGAATGCATTACAATTACAGGCCAAGAGTGGTCATTTTTTAGTGGCATGTTGAAATATAGTAGGCTTTTAAAAGTATCAAGATGAATCTAATTTTAGTTAAATAGAAAGAGATATGAATTCTTAAATTAATCAAGTTACCTGTAAAAGTTGCTCGAGTATTTTTACTTTGAAGTTCTTTAACAATGCATTTGGTTTTTATGGAAATTCCGTGTTCCGTATGAGAAAATATCCTTAGTAGTCTCAAAAGTCCAGATATTTTGTGTTTTTATTTTTATAAACCTGGACCTGGTTAACCCTGGTAAAAATCTTG